CTACTACTACTAATAATAATAATAACAATAATAGTATTAATAATAATAATAATAATAATAATAACTACAACAAAAGTAATAATAACAATAGTAATAATTATAGCTATGATAATATAAATACTACTACTACTACTACTAATATTAATAATATTATTATTGTTATTATTATATATTATAATAATATTATTGTTACTATATAATATTATATAGTGTATAATTTTATATTATTGTTGTTCTTTTTATTTCTAAAAACTTTTGTTAAACAAAACAAATAATTATAGGTGTTTTAACATGAACAAAATAACTTTTATTTTGGAATAAAATAATATTATTTTGTACGTTTATTAAAAAATTATAAATAAATAAATGATTGGTATTTTATCATCAATTATAGAGGGTTTATTTCGGCACAGATTTTTTTTTGCCCAAATGGTTACAAACAGGAAAATGACAAAGAATATTACAAACATTAATACAGTAATTTAAATTTTAAAAGATTCATTTAAACAAAAACTACTCCAATTCAAGCTGATGTGCGTTAAACTTTTTTTTTTGGATAGAAAAACACTAGCTAAACGCAGTGCAAGGCAGAAAAAGCTCAAACTTTTTTTTTATTTTTACCAACACGCCACATGCAAAGAGGTAAAAACCATGTAAAATGATGCCACAACTCAATCCGTCACACCACTTTCAGACAGCAACACACACGCAAACGAGTGCATCCAAGAAACCTGAACATTTATACGACCCAGCAGCAAGAATTTTGGCCAAAATGCATCTCAGCCGAATAACTTGATCTCATTTTTTCCAGCACCTGCCAGAGCTGCCGCCACCGCCGCTGTTTTCAATAATAAACCCTGACCAGAAGCCAAACGGCGGCATTAAAAACAGCAGCTTGTGTCCTGAAGGGAAGTCACAGGTTTAAAGACTTTGTCAAATTAGCAAAGTGGGCTGGGAAGATATGAATATTCACGAGGCGTTATTCCCAAAACCCAATCATCTGTCACCCCCCCCCCC